TTTGGTCTAGGAACAAGTTTCCATACTTCATTCCTTTCAAACTGTGTCAGCTCTTCTTGCATTGCGTTGATCCAGTCTGAATCTTCTAGAGCTTCTTCTACATTCATTGGTTCAATCTGAGATATGCAGCAGGTGAACATGGCTTCTCTTCTTGATGCAGATCTGGTCCTTACTCCACTGGTAACTTGACCAATCACTTGATTAGGAGGATGATCTCTTAACCAAGTTAGATCAGGTTCTGATAGTTGCTGTCTAGGCAACTCTGATGGTTCATCTTCTGATACATCATCTTCTTCTTCATCTTCATCTTTGTCTATCAGAACTGGATTAGTAATAGGAGTTGAGAGTACTGGATTGATAGTGACCTCTTCTGATAGGTCTAAAACCTTATCTTCAAGACTGATCTTCTGCAGGGTCTCTAATAATTCTTCTGCAGAGGTACCATCATCAAACTTGACATGAATGGATTCTTCAACTTGTATAGTTCTCCTGTTAAGTATTCTATAGGCTTTGCTTGAACTTGAGTAGCCTAAGAATACACCTTCATCAGCTTTTTCTTGAAATACTTTCAGATTTTCCTTTCCATTGTTTAGAATATGGCACTTGCATCCAAACACATGGAAGTAGCTAATGTTTGGCTTTCTTCCTTTCCACAGCTCGTAGGGAGTCTTCTGATGATTCTTGTGAATCATGCTTCTATTTTGAGTGTAGCATGCAGTGTTGATTGCTTCAGCCCAGTATCTGATGGGCAATCCTGATTCAGCAATCATGGTCCTTGCAGCTTCCTTCAGTGTTCTGTTCCTTCTTTCTGCAACACCATTTTGTTGGGGTGTTCTGGCAGCAGAAAGTTGATGGAATGTGCCATTCTGATCACAGAAGTCCTTGATCACCTTGTTGACAAATTCAGTTCCTCTGTCAGATCTGATTGTCCTGACCTTCATGTTCTTCTCAGTCTGAAGTTGCTTTAACAGAGATGGCAACTTCTGAAGAGTTTCATTTTTCTTGGTTAGAAACACAGTCCAAGTATATCTTGAGTAGTCATCAACCATAACAAGAGTATATCTTTTTCCACTAACACTGGGAGTTTCAACTGGTCCAAATAAATCCATGTGGATCAGATTTAGAGGACAAGTAGAAAGATCTCCAGCTATGGGTTTGAATGAGGTCTTCACTTGTTTGCCTTTCTGACAAGCACTGCAGAGAGTCTCCTTCTTATAGACAATGTCAGGCAGACCATCTACAATGTGTTCCCTTGCCAGTTTGTTGATGGTTTTGAAATTCAGGTGGCTAAGCTTCTTATGCCAGTCCCAGCTTAGCTTTGAATTGTCCTTTGCTATCAGACAGGTTCCATCTTTTGCTGTTTGCCAGTCAACAACATAGATGTTCTTTCTTCTTTTGGCTGTAAGAACCACTTCTTTGGTTGTCTCATGCTTGACATAGCATAAGGTCTTGGTGAATTCAACTGTGTAGCCTTTGTCACAGAACTGGCTAGCACTCAGCAAGTTGAACTTTAGACCTTTGACATATGAGACATCTTCAATGATTATCTGGTTCTTGATCAGCTTTCCTCTTCCCTTTGTTTGACCATCCTTGTCATTTCCTCCAAAAGTGACTCGGGGTCCATTGATTTTCTGGAACTCTGATAGGCAACTCTTATCACCTGTCATGTGTCTGGAGCATCCACTGTCAATATACCATTCTTGTTCTGAGATGGCTCCAGCACACAGTTCCTCATCATCTGATTGTGCCATGAGGCAAAGGTCTTCGGTTTCTGCATCCAAGCAGCAGAATGCTTCATCAGAGTCGGAGTCTGAACTGGACTCTGATTCAGAGAGTGGATCTCTCTCAGCTTGTTCTGAGACAAAAGCTCTTCTTCTTCTATGTTGATCATCAGGTTTCTTTTCTTCTTCTTGTCCTTGCTTCTTGGACACTCTTGGGAAGGGGCAGTTAGCCTTGAAGTGTCCAGGCTGTCTACAGTTGTAGCAGAGGTACTCTCCATTGCCTTCAGAAGATTTGGTCTTCTGATGTGGTCTTCTGATGGAAGATGGACTCCTTCCATCTTTCTTCATGAATTTTCTGAATTTTCTGGCAAAGGCAGCCATATATTCATCAGATAGAAGAGTTGAGGGATCAAAGTTTGTAGCCTTAGAAGTGCTGGCAGTAAGGGCAGTTGTGGTTCTTTCATCTGGCACTTCTTCTTTCTCTTCAACCATCTCGAACTCATAAGCTTTGAGATCTGAGATCAATCTCTCTGTGGGGTAGGTCTTGATGTTCTTGCTTTCTTGGACTGCAATCACCTTCATCTTCCAAGCTGAAGGCAGTCCCCTGAGGATCTTCATGTTGACCTCTTTGATGGTGAGCTCCTTTCCAAGCTCAGAAATTTCACTGATGAGAATCAGCAGTCTCTCATGCATCTTAGCAATGCATTCTTCTAGCAGAAGTTTGAAGTCATCAAACTTCTTCATTGCAATGGTCAGCTTGTTATCTCTTTCTTGTTCATCTCCTGCTCCAATCTCATCCAGCTTATCCCAGATTTCCTTAGCAGTCCTGCACTTCTTTATTCTATTGAAATATCTTTCATCAATAGCTTTGTAGAGAATGTCCTTGGCAATGTTGTCAAGGTTGTACTGTCTTTTCTCTTCCTTGGTCCACTCAGACCTGGTCTTCTCTATCATCTGAGGCAGATTGTTGTCTAAGGTATGGGCAGGGTTGACCTTCATGAATTGGATAAAAGGTCCATTCTCCAAGACTTCCCACATTTCATCATGCAGGGCACAGAGATGCGCTTTCATCCGAATCTTCCAGTCATCATATTTCTGATCTGTGAACATTAGATGCTTGGCAAGAGAGTTATCCATAATAACAAATAAATAGAGGCTAAGAACAAGTGGATCTTTGTTCAGAGAGTAACCTAAAAGATTACAAGAACAAAGAGGCTCTGATACCACTTGTTGGTCCCGTTTGAGTTGGTAATCAGTCTAGAGGGGGGGGGGGGGTGAATAGACTGATTCAAGTTTTTCAACTTTTTCTCTAAGTCAGAGTTGACTTGTCAGAGATGGTCAAGTTCTGATGATCAGAACTGGTCTTTGCAGCGGATAAGTGTTCCGGGTAGCCTCAAACAAACACTAAGGCAAATGCCTTTCTGATAACTCTGAGAACGAGATCTGCTGAACACAGATTCCAGGTCTTAGAGTTATGCAGTTAGAATCCTAAGTGCAGTAAGTAAATGCGTAAAGTAAGTGACACCGGGGTTTTTATAGTGGTTCAAGGAACAACTCGTTCCTCTAGTCCACTGTTCCACTAAGCTTGTAAGGATCAATTACAACGCCTTAGTCCCTAGCACTTAAGAAGTTCTCCACGCCTTCTTCAAGCCTAGTTGTCACCCGGGATGCAGTCCTGCTTCCTGATGACTGGTCCTTTCACTCAGCTTCCCGGAAGTATCACCACTTCACTGCTGCAGTTACTTGGACGCCCTTCTTTGCAGAAGATGTTTTGAAAACAGAGTTTTCTCCAACTTGCTTCGTTACAAAAGATATGTAGATGAAGATCTTGAAGTGTTGAAGAACAGGATGAACTTTGCTCGTTGTTGGGGATGAAAGATTTGGAGTTTGAATCTTCCCAACGTAGGACTTTTCTTGTAGAGTGTTATGAAGGTTGAATCTCAAGAGGTATGTTCAGAGTAGTGAATGGAGCAAAAGTTGTGGCAAAGTTATCTTCCTTGTTCTTCTTCGTGTAGCTTATATACGGAGGTTGTCTGCCCGTTGGAGGAGGAGACAACTGCATTAAATGCGCGTACTGTTGACTTGACCGCCGTTTTGGAAGGTTTCTATTTTTATAATATATCTTCCCGGATTCCTTGGTCAATCATTTGCAATCAATCCTTCAGCGTATCAGGCTCATTTAATGTGCATTAAATGCTTTCCTTTCATGCACAGTCTTCTAGCCGTTGGATGTTTTTACCCGTTGGATTCATAGCTGTTGGATGTTGCATGAAATCTTCTAAGTGTTAGTCGGGCTCTGATCAGGATCTTCTGATGTGTTGGATTCTGATGGCTTTCTGAGTTCTGATGGCTTTCTGATGAGTTGAGTTCTGATGGCTTTCTGATCTCTGACTGAACTCTAACTCTGACTCTGATAGGTCCGCTGATGAGTACCTCTGATCTGTAACTCTCATCGGTTATCAGATGTCCAAATTTATCAGCAACTCTCATGGTGCAACTCTGATGGACTTCTGATAAGAGAACTCTGATGGAGCAGTTCTCATAGAGCAAGTCTGGTCGAACAATTCTGATGCACTTCTGATCTGATCCAAAACAGAGCAACTCTGATCGTCGACTACACTAATACTTACAATTGAAAATTCTAATACATAAAATCTAATTGGGGGTACTCTAACTTTCTAATCCTATAGCATCATCAAAATCTAATTACATTTATTCCTTACAGTAAATACTAGATAACGGATGTATAAAGTTACTGGAGAAGGATTTAAAACACTTGAATTATGGATTGAGTAGAAAAACGTGCCATTAACTTTACAAGACAGTGAATTATTCCGAGTATTAGATGAAGTGGTAGACTATCAGGTACGTATATGCCATTAACAGGATACTAGTGATTTTTGTGGTATGAAGGTTAAGTGTATGAAAAATGGAAAGGCCCATGGGCATTAAAATGAACATGTATATAGAAGAATTAATGCCCGACGAATATGAAATATAGAAATGTAAATAAAATGCCATGGACGCTGAGTTAGTTTTTGTGAAAAATCTTATAGGACCTGGTAAAAGAAAAACCTTATAGGACCTGGTAAAAGCAATATAATTAGTAGTATGCAGTCGATGTAGGGAATTAAATTATTAACATGGACATTAAATAACTAGTAAAGCACGATCACTCACACAAGGAGGGAAGCAAGTCATATGGAATTAATATCCAGAAATAAATAACAAGAATGTTCAAAAAGAAAACAAAACCAAACTGGTGAATGTCACTAAATTCGTAGAAATATTCAAAAAACAGCAAATTAAAAGCAGTTTTTAACGCGTGTGTAGCGGAATCGGATTTCTACAGGTCTTTCGGTTGTGTCCAGCCATGTGACAACGAGTGCATGTTTGTTTCCGAACATGTTCTCCAGTAGACGGAATCCTTCTCTTCTTTGGCCTTCCAGGAGGTCGTGATTCGCATGATGGGGGCTTGCAAATGATTTGACTCACATGCGAGGGTACCATCCAACCATCTGGACTCCCAATAGGATGAATAATGCCACAGTATGTTTGTGCCCAATGATGTGCTGTATAGAATTCTGATATATAATCGTAGCAAGAAAGACCTGGTCGAGAGCGAATGGCAGCAACGGAATGTACCCACAAAAATCCATCAAGCTCAAATTCCCGACAAGTGCACGTACGTTCCTTCAAGTTGACAACATACGAGCGGGATTTCTTATCAAACACCTCAAACTCAAAAGCGCATGATGGTTTCACCTGCACAATTCATTATCAAATAACCAAAAACAAAATAAAATATTTTGAAATGTACAATTAAATGAAATAGCAGTGGAATAGAGACAGATAAAGCAGTGAAATAAAGACAATGGTTTGAGGGGAATACTGTCATCACGGCGGCCATAGCTTGTAAAACTACTAGCTCAGACTCAAAGTGTGTAGATAAACGACAAGTCTTCGACGTCGAAGTTTCTCCCCTTTCACAGAACCACTTTTGCATCCTAGCAATAATAAACTCTATCAACTTACAGATTGGGTATTCTCGGGCCGTGGCATTAACTGCATTTAATGACTCGGCATTGTTTGACATCATAACCGAGTATCGATTCCGACTGGCATATGCACGAGACCATTTGTCGTGACCGATCCGCTCTAAATACGTACGAATACGTTCATCCTCAACATCAAGCATGCGAAGGTACTCTTCACACTCATACACAGATCCTACACGAGCAGCTTGCAAAAACTTCCATGACACGGATGTTTGGGAACCACGAAATCTTGTTTTCAAATTAGCCAGAATGTGGTAAACACAATACCCATGCTCCGCATGAGGAAATACAAAACGCACAACATTAATAATGCCCTCGTGCCGACCAGACACAATATATAGATCGTCCCTATGCGTCAACGAACGCTTCAACATGCTGAAGAACCATGACCAGTTTTCACTATTTCCCCCACTACAAATACCAAATGCCAAAGGAAATATTTGTTTGTTTGCATCTTGTGTACATGCAGTGAGTAATGTACCCTTGTAATATGACTTCAAAAAAGACCCATCCACAATTATAACAGGAATGCAATGAATGCAGCCATCTTTCCATGCAGAAAGGCACATGATTTTTTTTTTTTAAATTCACCATTTTCGTTGCAGGAATAAGAAACAATAGAACCTGAGTTACTCCTATCAAGCACATAACACATGGAAGGTAACCGAGCATATGATTGTTTTTCAGATCCCATAGCCAATTCCATTGCCAATTCTTTGGCAATCCATGCTTTTTTGTATGACATGTAAATGCCATACTTGGTTTGCATATCAAGCATGACTGATTTCGGAGGATATGGCTTATTTGAGGGATCACCGTACTCGTGTTTGATTAGTTCGGCAATAAGCCTAGACGTAGCCTGGCGGTTATTTCGTTGACGCACATCAATGGGGCATGTGTGCTCAGAGTCAAATCTGGGAAAAATTGATAAGATCAGGCATTATCTAATAGGCAATACAGTGGATTCTAATTTAATGCACATTGTTCGGTATAAAAAAATAAACAGAAATTTAATGCATGTGTAATAAGAAATTAAAAAGAATTAATAATGTAAATTTGATAACATAAAAACTGAAAACATTAAACAAATCGAGTTAAAATATATTTCGTCAATTTATACAATTAATTAAATAACGTAAACACATGATGGAAATTCACTATGTATTAGAACTGACTCTCATAAAATATATATTGCCATTCAATTAAAGTGGGGAGAGGACATTAAAAGTGAAGTGGAAGCAGGGAATTATTTAGGCCAGTGAGAAAAATTATGAGATACATTGACATGCAAAGAGACCTTAATGCAAAAAGGAGGGATAGAGGAGGGCATTATAACATTTGATCAAAGGACATTAACAAAAATACACGCATTGTAATAATGAAATTATTCCCCTTAAAGCAAATTTTTTATTTAAAAAGTGAGACAATAAAATTACGTAATAAGGCATTAATTTTATATGTTATTTTGAGTGAGCAAGTAAATATATTGAAAATATATTGTCCCAAATATATTACCTAGGGCAGTAATGAGACCATAAAAGAGCATCATAGGGAATTAAATTCATACTTCATTTTTACTGCTCATTTGTTTTAAAACTAATGTTGTGAAGGGCAGTAATAAACATGCAGGCAACGTATAAACAACAATACAGTGCCAGGGCAGTAATACACATGCAAGGCAATAAACTCAGACAACTAATTGCGTACCTTTTAACTTGAAACAATGACACTTTATCGATGCAGACAGCACGCACAGCCCACTTGCAATTGGGGTAATCAACACACACAACATGCAAAACCATCGGGCAAGATGTCTTCGTTCTATATTGAAAAAAGTTGGTAATGGCATACATCTTTAAGTGAAAATCAAGTTCCTTCTTGCTTCCATAGATGCTGTTCAATGCAATGCGCGTGGGTTCGGAATGCTTAACTACAGGCATATTACGAATCTCTTCATCTACAAGAGAATTTAACCTCGTAATTTCAGCACTCGAAATATGTTCAAGTTCAAAGTCTGCATCGACAATGTGACTGAAATCATTGCCTTCATCACTTAAGCCACCACGCTCTTCGAGATAACTTGTAGGATTAATTCCACTTTCATTGTGAATATCATCACATATTGTGATGCTCTGTTCCTCTCCAGTCGTAGCATCAACCTCCTCACCGGATACAAATTCCGCACAGTTACTGACCTCAATATCATCGTTGGTAAAGCTGCAATTGTCTGCACCAGAATAGATATCATCAATCACGTTTTCAGGGTGATTATGATGGGCAACTGAGATATCTTGATTTTCTGCACTGGTAGCATGTTCATCCACTGCTTTAGGAACATCTGGTAAAATTTCAATGCAGAAGGGCATTTTCATCGGATCACTTTGAATGCTCTTCAACTGCAGATAAAACTGCAATGTCTCGTCGTCACATACAATCACCGGGGGTGGGCATGAAGCAAAAACGTACGAGATCATTATATTCTTGTCAACGTAATTCCCCCCCATAGCAAAAAACAAACAAGAACGAAGAGAAGCGAAAGTACAATTAGCCGGTATTGTTATGCCGGCAACATGAATACTAGAAAAAAGAGTGTTCGTTACCCACTGACCATCGAATCTGATCATTATCCATATTGTTGCAGGATTTCCAGGGAGGGAGTCCATGGATACTAGGAGCAAAACGGCACACGGTACTATCCTGTTGGTGGTCTAGAAATGGAGAATGAAGAAAGAAAACGGTTTCCGCAATTATAGATCGATATTAATTAAAACGATTGATATATAGTATGTATTATATTCTTAACGGGAGTGCAGCGGCTGATCGTGCATATCATGTGCGAAAAAATAGGAGCAAACCATAAGATACTCCGTATTAATTAATTAACGTGGAGGGCACCGGTGGAATAGAAATACGGGTAAAAAATTATTAAATCATGATGTATGGTAGTAAAGCATCATAGTAGGAAGAAAACATGGCTAAGTCATAGATTGGTAAAAACATGATGTTTTAGTGATACGGTGGGTAATTTTCTCATGAGTATAACGCCCAAAATGAATGGGCATACACAAATGAGCTTCTGAACTTTTTTATACTCATTTTGTAAGTTATTGTGAAACAAATTTTAAGTATTTACTTAAAATTGATCGCAAATAATAATATGTGAAAATATTGGGTACAATCTCTAAATATGAATCCTCTGATTCTTCACTTGCAATTTGAAGTAATATAATTAAAGAATTTAATTAAAAATTAAATCTCTAATTCTTCAAATATTCGAACGTTCTTCGGGTCTTCGAATCTTCGTTCTTGAGATCTTCGAATCTTCGAACCTTCGTTCTTCGGATCTTCAAATCTTCTTGAATAAAGAATTCAGCTTGAAGGGCCTCCGGTTTTCAAGTGGCTTGATCTTCAACAAAAGGGCCGTTTTATGGCTTGATCTTTTGTTTAAGGGCCTCCCGGGATATATGGCTTGATCTTCAATTGAATCTTGATTCAATCTTCATATGAATATCTTCAAACCTTCAAAGATTCGTTCTTCATATCTTCGAATCTTCAAAGCTTCGTTCTTCAGATCTTCGAATCTTCAAGCTTCGTTCTTCAGATCTTCGAACGTTCTTCAACTTTTTGCTTTGTTTGATCAAGAATAAATGAAATCACAAAGGATTAATCATATATTCTTGACAAAAAAACGTGGCTTGATATCTTCCGATGCTTCGGAATCCTTCAGAGCCTTTCGGGAGTTCTTCAGAGCTTTTCTGCAGCGTTTCTTCGTCTGGAAGTTCTCCTCCCCTTCTCTCAACTGAGACCCCTATTTATAGGTGTGGATGGGGGTGAAAATAGGGCTTAGGGTTGCTGAAATTCGTCCATATTATATGGGCCTCAATTAAAATGGGTTTTGGGCTCTATTTGTTTCATTTAATAGCTAGAAAAATCAGCACTTATATAATGTATCTAGACAGCCTTTTTAACAAGGTTCGCAGCCATTTTCCATGCACACAGACAGATTTCTTAACCAGATTCGTTGTCCTCTTTATCAATTGGATCATGTCTCTTATGTATCGGGCCACTATTTAATAATGGGCTCAAAATCAAGAAATTAATAGGACCCGTTCATTCTTTTAAAGATTTAATTTATAATTAAATTAATTGGATATTTCGAATGATCCAAATTAATTAAATTAATAAATTTTATCCCAAGAAATCCATATCACTATTTTCTTCTTGATAAGGCCCACCAACCATCACGAGCAGCCTAGTAGAACTTGACGTCGGCCCGGTAGCGCTTAAAAGAGGCCCAATGATAATTACAACTCGGTCTAAATATCTCAAAAGTCCAATTGATTTATGAACAAATGGCCCGTTAATTTTATATGTCCACAAATGCCCCCTCGAGACTTGCTTGGACGTATCGACTCTATCATCACGACAAGTGAGTCTCGAAAATAATTCCCGATTCTCGATATAATATTTGGAGTATATTGAAAGCTCGAAAGAACGGGATTTCTAGAAAAATGATTGGCCCAAAATCATTAATCCACTCACAATCCAATTTCTTCATTATCAAATATTCCTACTTGCTCAAAGAGAAATCAAATTCTACAGAGTAATACTACGTACTTCTTAGTTGAGAGGAGTCCGAATCCAAAAAAATCTCATCATCATCCCACTCAGCCCAACTTATTCAATATAGGTAGGAATACTACGCGATTGAATCCTCTTTCAACTCAAAATAATAATGATCGAACTTCTATCAGGACTTGAATTCTATAGCACATAAATCGGATCTAACTTTTATTCTAACACCTATAAATAGAACCCCAAATTTGCCTTCTGCATCTTCACTTCGTATCACAGTTTTATTTACTTAGAAGCTTCAGAAGAAGAAATCGGCTCGGCCAAAGCAAATCAAAAGGTATACCAGCTCTATTTTTTTCTTTTTCTTTTAGCCCTTCTCTTTTCTTTTTGTCAAATTGCAGGGGAGAGTTTCAGGTAGAGATGCTTCTGGCCACAGACTTTGTTGATGCTGTAGTTCAAAGTTGATTTACAGAGGGGCTTTAGCGGTCTTGTCCGTCCAGAAGAAGATTGGTGTTGCCGGCTCCTAACTTGCTGCTAATTTAGAGTACTCCCAGAAGAGTTGCTGTCCAAATTTCCCGTAGGGAGGCTGAAGGAAGCAGGGCGTTGATTGAGCTCTTGAGAAGATGCTGTCATGCCGTCAGAAGCTTCAACGGAGCCGTTTCCTATTCTGTCGCAATTGCTGGGCTCTAGATTGGTTTCGGATGGTGAGTAGCGAACGAAACTTCAGGGAGCTCTGCAGCCAGAATCTTCCAGAGCTGTGGAGACCTGCTTTTGTTCTGACCGCCAGTACAGAGAAGAAGACAAAGCCGATGCTCGAGATGAAGCTGATTCACTGATTGGCTTCTGATTTTTGACGATGAGCAGAGTAGAATCCCTCCAGAGTTGCTATTGGTGGTTTAAAGCTGATCAAGAAGGCTAAAGCAGAAAGTGGTGTCCTATCCAGTAGCAAGTGATTCAGAGAAGAAAACAATGAAGGTGCCAATTCCGTTGCAGGTCGCTCAAAGAAGAAAACATTGAAACAGTTTGACTGATTGCCTATCCTCCGTGCTGCTTAGCCCTTTGTTGGGATGACACTGATTTGAAGAATTAGGCTGATTGTCGGTTGTTGGTGCCGCTTAGCCCTTTGTTGGGATGGCGCCAATTTGGAGAATTAAACCAATTTCCGATTGTCGGTGCCGCTTAGCCCTTTGTTGGGATGGCACCGATTTAAAGGATTAGGCCGATGTCTCATTGTTGATGCTGCTTAGCCCTTTGTTGGGATGGCACCGATTTAAGGAATTAGGTCGGTTGCTAATTGCCGGTGCTGCTTAGCCCTTTGTTGGGATGGCACCGATTTAAAGAATTGGGTCGATTCCCGATTGTCGGTGCTGCTTAGCCCTTTGTTGGGATGGCACCGATTTAAGGAATTAAGACGATTTCCTATCGTTGGTGTCGCTTAGCCCTTTGTTGGGATGGCACCAATTTAAAGGATTAGTCCGATTACCGATTGTCGGTGCTGCTTAGCCCTTTGTTGGGATGATACCGATTTGAAGAATGAGGCCCATTGCCGATCGTCAGTGTGAAGACCAGCTATTTTGTTGGTGTGAAGACCGGCCACTTCGTCGGTTTGAAGACCGACTATTTTGTCGGTGCGAAGACCGGCGACTTCGTCGGTTTGAAGACCCGCTACTTTGTGGGTGTGAAGACCGGCCACTTCGTCGGTTTGAAGACCCGCTACTTTGTGGGTGTGAAGACCGACCACTTCGTCAGTTTGAAGACCCGCTACTTTGTGGGTGTGAAGACCGACCACTTCGTCGGTTTGAAGGCCCGCTACTTTGTGGGTGTGAAGACCGACCACTTCGTCGGTTTGAAGGCCCGCTACTTTGTGGGTGTGAAGACCGACCACTTCGTCGGTGTGAAGGATATAGTGGCACAACTTGTAGCGGTTTGACAGGAGCTTGTAGCAGTCTGGTAGAAGCTTGTAGGAGCTTGTAGAGTCTGATAGGAGCTTGTAGCGGCAGGAGCTTGCAGCGGTCCAGCATAAGCTTGTAGCGGTCCAGCAGGAGCTTGTAGCGGTCCGGCAGGAGCTTGTAGCTGTCTTACCAGTTTTGCCGATTACAAACGATGGTGTTTCCCTTTGTCCTTGTGAAGAAGATGACACTGCCGGTTCAAAGCTTTAGAGGCACCATTGATGCTACTGCTGTCGGCGCCACTTGCTCTGCTGTTGGGATGGTGGCATCGTTGTGGAGACGCCGTTGGAAACTTAACTTAATCCACTTTCGATGAGGAGGATCGAGACCTATGAATTTCCAGAGCCTGGTTTGA